AATTCAGTGATGAGTTTATTTGCATTCCTTACTTGAATATGAATCAATGGATAATTCATTGCATTGCAAAGTAATAATTAAGTCTACATACGTGGGTTAATAAATGCATTAGGGCAATTCCACGGTAACGGAAGGACACTCAGACAAGATTTTTGAACTTCAGGTTCATACTAAAAGAACTGTTTTATTAGTATAAGATGTGGAACAGTACAGATATAATACCTATATAAGTGCCTTTAATTCTCCCCCCAAAAAATTGTCATTATAGTTAAGTAGTTTAAGAATGTGCATATTAATTATCTCGGTAACGGAAGGACATAAAAATGGACATGGTTTTTCCAGTTAATTAGTGTTTATCCAAACTTTGTGAAGTTGATGAAGCTTTCCACTTGACTGAAACACATTTTGTTCCCCATAGTTTAATACATACTAATAAAACATTTCTTTTAGTATGAACCTGAAGTTCAAAAATCTTGTCTGAGTGTCCTTCCGTTACCGTGGAATTGCCCATTAATCCATTTGAAGATGTTAACAGTTAACACCTATATTCTGGGTAAATATTTGACATCAAAAGGAGAGTGGTATTCATATGTTTCATGAGTACTAGAAAATTATAGATAATCTCTTCCCTCTCTTGTAAAAAGTGCTTTTACACAACAGCCACTACCAAAATCCAAATTTAAGATTTTATTGACAATTCTTATCAACTCATGTCGATGTATTCAAATTGAAAACAGGAGAAGTTTTTGAGTTGTACATTTATATCAAAGTTGCGGTAATCGGGCAACTACCTGTAGTCCATAGTGAACAACTCGATGCATATTGAGCAGGCCCTACGCAAATGTTTTACTTGAAAGAATTAGTCATTAGTAAACAGTTTGTTCAATATTGATGCGCAACTAAAACCATTTATTTCATTAAGCTGCAAAGCAAGTAGAGAAGCTCTGCAAAATGAGCTTTTATTGAAAACATAAATCATATATTACCAATTCTTTAAAGGTAAAGACCAGTTTTGGAAACTCGGAAGCTCTTATTACCAATCATGTGAAATAATATGTTTTGACTAATAAGTGATCATACAAATTTTACCGAGAAAGTAGAAACCACCTACTAATTGATATATTTGGTACATTATTATATCTATTTGGACCTGATAGATATAACGCACAAGTCGTATAGTCCAATATACATCTTTCTGTGTACAGTGCTTGTAACTTTACCAAGACTAGGCCAAATTTCTTATCATTTTGATGATTCCAGAACCTTGCAGTACACACTCATACTTATATGCTAGATGATCAACCTTTTCTGATCAATTCCACAACGTTTCTTTCACAATGCAATCACATGACCATAAATGGTCTTTATCTTTCATGTATGCAGACTATTACACCGATGCTCTGCATATATCATTGAGCAAATTACAAAGTAATTAATTTTTGTTGATTCAAAGCAACATTTCAATTTTTTCTTGCCCGTGGCACATGGTTGAACCATGGCCAACATATCCTTGAATGACACACTTTCTTGAAAAGAATATACCAGTGCATGATTACAGAAGAACAAAAACAAAGAAAATATCTGTACATCTAACCTGGGGAAATAAAGAATATGCATTATATACCTGGATACACTCTGTTTACATTTACACATGGTCCTTTTAAGAACTCTCAACATAATCTTTTAACAACAATCTGACTTCTTGTGAACAGTGCTAGGCTTCTGATTCAAGTTGATAGGATTGACGTCATCCTTGACATCATTCTTGCGATCAAGCTCCACCACCCTCCTAACTGCTGCTATGAACGCCTCTTCCACATTGACTGCTGTCTTGGCGCTAGTCTCGTAATAAGGCACATTGCCATTGTCCGCACACCACTGCTTTGCTTCATCGACCCCGACCTGCCGCTTGTCAGACTCCACATCGACTTTGTTGCCGAGGAGAACGAATGGAAAGTTTTCTCCGTCTGCAATGTCCGCATAGTACAAGAACTCCTTCTTCCACATGGTCAAGTTGTGAAAGCTCTGCCTGTCGTCCACTCCATAGGTCAGCATGCAACAGTCAGAACCCCTGTAGAACGGTGTCCTCAGGCTCTTGAAGCGCTCCTGACCCGCAGTGTCCCATATCTGGACAGTGAAGGTCTCCCCTTCTACAACGATGTCTTTGTTCAGGAACTCCACCCCAATGGTGTGAAATGATTCCTGCTCAAATTTGTTACTCACGAAGCGATTCATGAGAGAGCTTTTACCGACACCTCCATCCCCCAGGATGACAACTTTGAGAAGCATTGGTCGACTTCCAGCCATTTTTTAGGTGTTCTCAATGAGACATTGCACATAGAAAATAGAATTACACAACCCAACTGCTACCATGGGAGTCTTTTCATCCCCATAATTTGCACTCCTCCTCAGGTTTTGTTCATTGGTCAGTCCAATTGTTGTTGTAACATTGGTCGAGTATCCTTTAGCTTCTCAGCGGTTCTTTGTGTATTCACTCTGCAGCAGAAACCTATAATTATACAAGAAGAATAGAGAAATATTATATTTTATAAGATGATGACATGGATCCTAATCAAATGATTGGTTGAGAGCGTACACGTGACCAGGCATTTATTGGGCCTAACATGAAATTTGATAACGACCGGTCATTATCAAATACTAATGACCAGTCATTAGTAAAATCGTGTTATAAAACACCATTTTATAAAACAAATAATAATCTTATATAACAAATAATACACATCATTTTGTTCGGGCATTAGTAAAATTACCCACACTTGATACCTTCAAAACAGTCCAAACACCCTCGACTATGCCCTCGGGCGTGTAAGACTGTACCAAATGTCCTTGTGTGGGTAATTCTTACTAATTAATGCCCTCAATGCTGTGTATTATTTGTATAAAAGGGGGCATGTATGATAGGGTGCCCAAAGTTCAAGCATATATAAAAAACAATTAGGTCTAGATCTATATTAGGAACTTTTATGAGATCAATAACTACCAAAGGGAGAGCAAATTTTTGACTACAGATGGGTACAACTAGAAAATTTATCACCAAAAGATTTCCTGGTGATATACCAATCTCAAAATTGAACGTTGGATCGGAATTAGATCTAGTTACGACTGAAGAATATATTGATAAAAAACAACAGTTAACTTAAACATGTTGAAGTTACTGGTTACTGGTATTTCTCTTGAAAATGACTGTTCTTTCTCGAATCATTGTAAATATGTACAATTGAAAAAGGAAAAATAAATGAATTGAATTGAATTGAATTGAATTGAATCGACTTCCTTAAGTTCCCTTTGAGACAGCCACCAACCCAAATTTGAAGAAAAAAAATATGGCTTTGCCATTGGCTTTGGCATCAACTCAATTGACTTCTCACCTCACTTGTCACGTCACTGTTGGGTCTGAATATCAAGGAATTATAAAACACTAAGTACAGAGTGGATTGATGTCATTGATAAAACAATGGAATTAATACATTATCTTCCTTTAGTCTAGATTTATTTCTAGTTAGGCCGAGCGCGGCGCAGAACAATATCCCAACACAAAAAAACATTGACGGGACCACAACAGAGCTACGCCTCCTTTCTAGACAAAAGTCAATGACAGCTTGTACTATGTAGATTTTCATGCAAAGGAAAGAATGAGAAGTTATCTCTAGCTCTAGATATATATTATACATAACCATTTATTACAAACTTACCATCAAATCGCCAAGTTTTGTTCAACAATTATTAACATCTGTCAATATGTTGTGAGTCGATCTTCCTCGTGACTTGTGACTGTGACTTTAATGTTTTAACGCGTGAGTCATTGATTTCTTGTGATCGCTAAAATGACAATCATACTAATATTTAATAGTTTATAAATACATATCGCGTATGTTCCTAGTTTTTTTTACACTACATAGATTAAGGATGGCGATCGTTTCGGGACAATTACACCCTTAGGACAAACACCCCCCCCCCCCAAAGGACAACAACCCTGATAAATTTACCCTCCTTTTCAGGGGAAGTTCACCCTGATAATAAGTTTTTGTTAATAAGAAAATATATATACGAATTTTTCTTGGGGGGGGGGGGGGGGGGGGGGGGGGGGGTAATTTCCGGGGGTATTCAAAGGGGGGTGATTATCCAGGGGGTAATTGTCCTAGAACCGATTTTATTCTCTAGTGTATGAGCTAGGATCTTGACATATATGTCAAAGTACACAAATACCGATTATTTCTGTCTAGGTAATTAAGGTTCCTATTATTTCAAAAAGAAAAGAACAGAAGGAAAAAAACAAATTTTTATGATTTTCGAACTAATCAAATATGAAAAGATTGTAAATAGAGGACCATCCCATAAAGTTGTAAGAAGAAAAAAAAAAGTTCTCATCCGTCATATAAACAAAGGCAGGTATGCAGGCGCGTACGCAGGACTTTTTGAAGGGGTTTTTTAAAATTCAGGGGGGGGGGGGGGGGGGGGGTAAGAGCACTTTTTTTCCCCCAAAAAATTTGGTAGTTATATTTCCTTCAGTTTGGGGGGGGGGGGGTAAGGTCACCTTTTTTAGTAAAAAACACACACAAAAAAATTGAGGGAGGGGGGAGGGTTCCATCCCCAACACCCCCCCCCCCCCCACGCACCTGGAGGTATGGTTGAAAATGTTTTCTTCTTCTTTTTGATCTTCTATCTTTCCTCCTCTTTTACCTTTCTTCTTTTTCTTTTTCTTATGCATATCATTATCATCATTTACTCGCCATGGTGTAGAAGGGAATATAATTTTGTTGAAATGAGCATGAATTTATGTGTGTATAATGACCATATAATAAGGTTTACCAAAGCAAATTAATTTTTTTACCATGTTCATAAGAAACATTTCTTAATTTAGTTTGAGCAGGGAGAACTTGCCCATTCAGAGTAGAAAAAGGGGAGGAAGGTGCCTACACTAAATGATTTTAAATTACAAAAATTAAAGTGAAACATAGTAAAACAAAGCACAAATAAAGTTTTACAAAGGAAATGTTCATTTAATAATAATATGTGTACATAATTTCAGGTTGAATTTATATTACATAACAAACACCTACAAATAAATACAAATCAATTGTAATATTCCATTTACATAACAATGTTTTTGCTGATCAAACATCTTACTCTTTCAAATCACAGTTTATACCCACAGATGAAGCACCTCATTTAAATACAACTTATAACAAAAAGAAGGGATGTCATAAAACATGAATTAATTTCCTTCAGGGATGGATTCTTATCCATTTGAAATATCACAATATACATTGTTTGTAAGAGTATGCTTACTGTACTAAACAAATCAATGTGGAACATTTTCTGGCTGTCATGTAGTATTACGAGTTCTAACAATTTTAAACGTTCTACTACAACATAATGTTGATAGAAGCAATTAATGTAGAATTGTAGCAAGGTTATTTAGGTATTGCTGAAAGCTATCTTTTGGAAAGTATGATAAAAGCAGAATTGTAAGAATGATTAAAAGTGGCATTCTGAGAACCATGAGCATTTATATATCTTCTGGGGGAGGGGTTAGTGAGTTATTATCAGAATTTACAGATACCAAGTTAATCACAAATTTCAGGAGGATCAATACCCTCCATCATCTATTGTCATCATTGCCAAAAAGGCGATTAGTGTGCGAGACTGTTAATTGAGCTAAATTTCCAACTACATGTAATTAAAGTACACAATCAATTCACAACAATTAATTGATGTTTTAAGAAGGAAGTTCATGGTATATTCTTTTCTTCAATTATTATCACAAAATCTCAGAATGCTTGAAATTAAACATTTCTACCTTTTTTCCTGGAGCGCTTTTTTTCTTTTAGAAATAAACTGGCATATACTGATAGACTGGCTTACAGCAATTTTGAATTGTTTATCATGCAGCAGATGGATTGTTTGGACCAGCCAAATATACCAATAAATGACAAAATATTGGAAATGCCATCTACTGAGGAACACTGAAGACTCACTTTTGTATGCACACAGTGTGGACTACATGCTTGATTTCTTAATGCTGAGTAGTATTTACTGAGGTGTTACACAGGTCCTGCAAATCATCTGTCATACACTTGTAGTCTTCTACTTCAGTGCAAGTATCACTTGATTCTGTGTTAATATACTTTCCATCATTTCTAGAACTCAGATTGCTGTTTAATGGACAAAATGCCCGGTACCCAGAATGACCACTTATTCTACCCAATGCCTCACATAACTTAAACCATGTAATGCCAGAGCAGAGGTGGTATTAAATATTTGAGCATATTATTACAAAATGCTGTCAAGGGAAGGAGAGTTTACCTAAAGTACAAATCTACAGCAGATCAAAAAGATATAAATTAATTGCGTTTTGCGAACTTCCAGCAATGGAATCACAATAGGAGGAGTAATACAGGTATGAATGATGACTTTGGTAGCTTAGTATAATGAAGAGGCATGTAAAACTGTCTGTTAGAAGAAAAAGATCCAACTTCAATAATCTTTTACCGATCAGGATCTCGCAAATTGTGTCCTACCTATCTTAATTTGGTATAATCCAAAGGCACAATCAATGTATATCAAGGATGAATATACATTTTGACTATGACTAAGCAATCATTTGCAAAGGATCAACTACAAGTACCAACTACTCAAATATCCTTTACATATTGATAATTCATAACATTACAATAATGGAGAAACATATATTATACCCTTCCTGTCAATGCATTTATGAACCAGCATGTGCATTGACAGGAATGAATCTTGACGTTATAATAGTACCCCAGTCACATCTATGATTATACAGACAATGTACCAACAATAGACCGATCAAAATTAATCAAATTTCCCTTTTTCAGAACCAATGATGTTCAATAAACCCTTCACAATACTGGACAAGCCCCTGACATTATGGCCCTAGTAGGGCCTTTCGGGCATGCTATGGAGCTTACACCCTGATAAAGTTTGGAACTGACTAAATACCACTGAAAGGCTATCAAAACCAATCATTGCCCGATATACCTCTGAGAGTTACCTCACAATATCCAAATTGGCTCAGATTTTCTCAATCATTAGTTGGGTTGGCGGTGTGACTGGGTTAGCAACAGGGCCTGGGGGGCTAGCTACAATATATCAACTCTACTGACTTACGATTCTTAAATATACTGAACGTGACTATCATACAACTAATCGACGGGGGAGGGGTTGGGCCTTAGTCCGGTGTATCGATTGATATAACAGGCATAACGACTTTATAATCCAGCATAGCTTGTTTGGAATGTATATAGATTTCTCTCTGGATTTCCTGCTCCTCCGGTTCCTGGTCTCCTCTGTGGATGTTGATTTCTATGTTGCCGTACTCCTGGAGGAAGGGGCAGGTTCCCAGCAGAAAAGAGCAGAAATCTTTCCTGATACCAAACCACCCTGTGTGAGGAATAGAAATAAAGAGGGTAAACAACAAGTAAATTAAAGATCAAGTCAAACTTTTTCATATAGACCACCCAGGGGAGACAAGAATTTTTTTGTAATTACATGTAAGATGTATTTATAAGCAGGTGGTATTTAATAAAAACATACGAGTACTTTGGGTAAATATTTCAGTGAAAAATGCTGCTTAATAGGAACAAATGAAAATGTAGTGTTTAACAGAACTAGATGGAATTCGACTGCGCGCAGTCGAAATTGATGCCTCCTTCATAGAGCAATTTTACAAACCGAAACGGAAGAAATTTTTCAAATTCAAGTTCAATTGTAATCCATTAACATGTTCTCAGAATATCGTGATTACAAGCAATTTCTCATATACATATATGACCCTTTGATCTTTGACCTCATGACCCTAAAATCTACTCAGTTCATTGGCTCTGCAAGATGTCCTGAGTTAAATAGTAATCCATCTGTCAGTTCTAATGAGAATGCTTTCACAAGCTATTTTTGCATACATAATGAGCCCATGACCTTTGATCTTATGAACCAAGAATCTACTCAGTTCATTGGCTCTGCAAGATTCATAAATGATCTAAGTTTGGCAGGAATCCATCAATCTGTTCTAATGATAATACGATCACATGCTATTTTTGCATACATAATGAGCCGCATGACCTTGACCTTTACCTCATGACCCCAAAATCTAATCAGTTCATCAGCTCTGCAAGTAACATACATGACCTAAGTTTGGCAGGAATCCATCAATCGGTTCTTGAGATAACGCGATCACGAGCTGTTTTTGCATACATAATGTGCGCTGTGACCTTTGACCTCGTGATCCCAAAATCTTATCAGTTCATCAGCTCTGCAAGTAACACACATGACCAAAGTTTGGCAGGAATCCATTAATCGGTTCTTCAGATAACGCGATCACAAGCTGTTTTTGCATACATAATGAGCCCTGTGACCTTTGACCTTTGACCTCGTGACCCCAAAATCTAATCAGTTCATCGGCTCTGCAAGATACCTACATGACCAAAGTTTGGCAGGAATCCATTTATCGGTTCTTCAGATAACGCGATCACGAGAACAGGACGTACGTACGTACAGACGTACGTACGTACGGACGGACAACCCGAAAACATAATGCCTCCGGCTACTTCGTAACGGAGGCATAAAATTCAGGTGTTCATTCAAGCAGGTTTCAATGTACAATGAAATGTGCAATAACGATAGAAATCATGCATCACTCCAATAGAGCAGTACATAGATGTAATCAAATGGAGGATACTAATGATGATCAAAAGCTTGCCATCAGCCTACCTGGCATATCAGAAGTTATCAAGCGACCTGTTTTTGTTCTTCTTCACATACACATTTTTTTGAACGGTGAATGCAACAGTTTGTAGGGGTCTTGACATAGGTTCTTTAAATACATAATTTACATAATGAATCAATGATATACCCCAGTTACACCAACAAGGCAGGCACTTGACCAACTATAAACTAAACAAAAGATTACATTACATCAGTTTGGAATCCGTTTGGAGCCAGCATGGTGGCGTGACTGGCTTATTAAACACCTCTTCACAGGATAATTTGTTTCTGAATACTCACATTGATTTCCACCTCTTTGACCAAAGGCAGTGGGCAGCAAGACCAGTAAAGAGATGTACAGGGGACAAAACACAGCAGACACCGGGTAATCATTGATGCCATCTAATCTATTTACTAACAGAATCTGTCAATAAATCGGGGAAAGATTGGACAAAATATGGTTTATTAAAAACAAAAGTACATAAGAATGTCTCTGCATCACTTATAGTGAAAAGAAGTAAAGGAAGAAAACCATGTAAAGAAGAAACTTGAACATAGATCCAACTTTTGTGAATTTCCATGGCAGTTGAGATTGCGAAAATTATTGAAAAGCAAAATGGAGTTGTCATTAACAATTGGTAAAAGTGTCTGGTTTTACAGTAATGTACAAGATTTGAACAAGTTAACCCCATTTCAAATCATGGGGAGGGTGGGGTCAATTCAATGAAATTCTCAAGCAGAATTTCACTATGACTTTGCTAGTCCAAACAACCCTTGACAATTCAAATTAGATGTGGCAAGTAATCATGACATTGCATTTTGAGATTCACTTACCTCAAATGTTAGGAGTGGTGCTACTAGTGACACAGCAGTGACTGCTGTCATGAAGTTGGCTCTTCTTTGCTCTGCCATCAGCTCTGTTGCTCGTAGGATGAGTAGAGACCAGATGACGTAGTACAGAACGATGAGACACATGAGACAGGTCAGAATCCACAATGGGATGAATACAACCTGTCAAGTGATTGGATAGAATTTTATGACAAAAACTGACAGACCCACAGCCTTATTCCCACTTGATGTGGAAATCGGTTTTCAAGACAACTAGATGAATGTGACTTCATCTTCAATATGCCTCAGCCTGTGTTCACTGATCAATGATGTTATGACCCTTAGCATCTGGTCTCACGAACCGCCACTCTTCTCATATAATCTTTTGATGCTCATTCATACTTGAGCCCAGTTCGGTCATGATTGGATAAAGTTTTGTTTGTGGTTGTAAGTTTGGTTAAACTCCCTGCAACGATTTTCAAGTTATTGTGTCAGCCAAAACCGGGACAGATGGAAAACTTGAAAACATGATGCCTTCAGCACCACCCTCGGTAGTGGAGGCATAAAAAGCAGCAGCTAAATATAACTATTCTATATGTATATGACAAAAGTGGAAGTGAGAGAGCAGTAGCTAAATTAACAAAGGTCCAAGGTCTATTTCAAACACCAACCAAATTCTAAACTTCAAACTTGGACCCACAACTATATGAGACACTACCGCTAACCCTAAACTAATCCAATAGCTGGTATTAATTCAGTTAAGACCTGACCCTGGATCTAGAATCACGTTTAACAAAAGAGAAACTTAGACCTCAAAATTAACTTCCCGTCTCAGACCCCATTTTGAACAAAAGCTTAAACCCACTATCAAGGTTCTAATTTTAGAAGCATACAAGCCATCCACAATAGAACCCCTTAATCTGCATCGTTGCAAAAAGCAAGGACGTAGGAAATATCATGTTACTATAATAAATATGTCTTTACAATGTATTTACATTCAACCTTGGCAATACTCACTCCCCATCTCCAAGTAATGATCTCATCCAGCTTGAGTGCGATGAAAATGAATTGTAAAATGTTGATGGAACACATAGCTTCCAGCTGTTGAAAACAAAACATCAGCAACATTAAATAACTATTTTATAGTGGATTATGTAATGCAACAACAGATACTGCACTGGTCTATTATTTTATAAATTATCTGATCCTATACACATACATATGAGTCCAAGTATATGACTTCAGCTTTTAGATGGCTCTCATGTCCTATTTTGTGGATCATCCTTAAACATTCTCTCAATATTCAAATCACTGGTTATACATGAAGTATTGCTTAATAATTCTTAATAACATGGTAAAACAATGTAAAGTAAAAAAAAGTGTAAATCTTGGGTTTTTTTTTTGTAATATTTCTTTCTTGAAAAAATATATTACAGGTAAGTAAAAAAAAAAATGAACTGTACACTATTAACTGGCTCTTTTTGCTATATCCTACTGGTGATCTAGTGCAATTTTTTCTGTCTTTGATTTTGCAATATATAAATAGAATAAATGATGTCTGAATGAATGTATACAAATATAGAACCCTTAATTAACATAATAACACTAACTCCGACTACAACAAGTGACTGTTCCCTGTAAGATTTACCTCAAGACCACGATCATGCTTGAAGCCCCATACACAGGCAGCAATGGAGACAGGCGATGTGAGAAATAGGGGCATGAATACAATAAGCCAGGGATGGCGCCAGGGTTTGGCAGCATTAGAGCTTTCTAGCTGATCACAGGCAAGTATCTCAAAGATGAGGAGGAGAGAGTTCAGAGCCAGGCATATGATGATTGCCTTCATATCGATGTAACCCTCACCTTCGACCCTGTAATGCAAATGACAAAACAATGTAAAATTTCTTCTGGAGTATGTGTAGCAGATCAAGAACAATAAAGTAACGCCAGTCCAAAAGAAAAAAACAGAAAGGGTACCATAAACCTTCTGGTTTGGGGATGTGGGCCAGTTCCAGTCCGGTTCCAATCAGAAGTTAACTAAAAGCTTATACAGATGAAAAGCACTGATGTCTTTATCAGCAGCAACCTAAAGTGATTTTAATAGCCTTCTTACATTTATTTTGTTATGCTGATCAATACTTAAAGCTTTACAATGTCAATTTACACTCTGTCCTATTCGGATATTCCTCAGAAGTGTTGGCAATGGTAAATGATAGGCTTACTGAGGAAAATAATTTAAATTAAAATTCCATCTTCATGTTTCATGTCCTCTTTGTAGTCTAGGACATCTCTAGCCAACAGTAGTAGAACATGATCTTGAATAATCAGCTCGGTCACAAAAGCAATTTTAAGTTTCCATGTTCATGTTTTCACTTTCTCTTCTGGACATTTTCGGTTTAAAATAGGAGCTGATTAAATCAAAGCTGAGCTTGATCAGAATTTAAAAAAAATGTATCTTCAGACATACTCTGTCTGGTAATTGACAATCATAAATGTTTATGGTGAGAAGAATAAAACCAAAAAACGATGTTTATAAGTTTAATTTCAAACAATGTGTTCTTTGTTATTGTTATACTCCTTTATGTTCCTGGAAATGATATGAAATGAAATAAATAAATAAATAAATAAGAAGCAAGCAAAATATTGATTACCTGTATTCTGGATGCTTCCACCAGACGACTCCTGCCACAATTGCTCCCACGATCACCACGCCCTTCCAGAACCATAGTGGCAGGAAGACAAGCCAGAAACTACATTGTATCGTCTCATCAAGCCGTAGAGCAAACACCAACGAGAAGACAATCAGACTTGTATACACCAAGAATTTACTGTAAAAAAGGTAAAACAATATACACACATGTACATGTAATTGTAAGAGAGACAAGCAAACTCAGAACTCACAGATTTACTGATGTCGGCAGTCCCGACTCCCAAGTCGCAGCTTGTCCTACCCCTCTGAATACAGAAATCAGGAGGAGAGTAAGGGGCAAACGTGAAGTACAGTTTCAATGCAAGTACATGTACAAGCAGAACAAAAAAAATCAAATGCCCATTAGGCCAAGTAAAAAAAAGTAACGAGTTTCTTGTCCTGACTTTTTCAAAAAAGAAGGCAGTGTTTTACTATTTACTATTTTAAAATTAAGAGAAAGTATGCATGCAAATCCTGCACATGCATACTTACTCATTTTGAATCGACGATATACAACATGCGATGAATTGGGTTAGGACGAGGAATCCCCCTTTTTCCCATCAAAGACTCCTTCAAATTATAATTTCAAGTGGTTGGACGGAGTAAAAAAACATTGAAGTCAAAATTATAATTACTAGTCTACTTCTTTACATTAAAAAAAAATATGACCCAAACGACAGTTTGAATCGTTTTACTATGCAGGCTCTGGAGCTCCGACACCTTTGGCAGCGTACCTCCCTGGACATGCTGGAGTTTAATTCTAGACATTTCATGATTGTATTATTGTATAGTGGTGTGACCAAAGTTCACGGATGGCACGTGACCTAAGTTCGCTATCTCAAAAATATCAGTAAGATTTTGAAAATCTGATACCACCAATGGAAAGAGGAACATAAAATTACCCATAGATGAAATTTTCTTTGGAATTGGGTACGAAATTGTGAAAATATATACAAAAGATCGGCAAATTTTGCAATCTTTTCCGAAAATTATCAACTTACCTATAAGGGTCTGAAAATCTTTAATTTGAGAGCAGATTTCCTCAAAATTGTAAGTAAAATGTGGTACCAACTGATTGTATGATATGTTGCCTTGCAAATTATGATATTACCTTATTTTTGATGGATCACAATTTATGATAAATCAACTGTTAGGCCATTAAAAAAAATACACATGTTTAGCATCCCCGCCTGCTTCCTTTTTGGGGGCTGCCTCCTACTTTTTTCTTCTTTTTTTTTTTGAAATTTTTTTTGGAATTTTTTTTTTAAAGAAAAAAAAACATGAAAAACACTGCTAAAATGGATCTATTTCTGATTTTAAAAAAAATGTCGGCGGCCATCTTGAAAAATAGCCCGACTGACTGGGAAAATGTACCGAGCGGCCATTTTGAGCGGCCATTCTGAAAGAAAAAAAAAAGAAAAAAAAAAAGGGCCTCCTCCTTCCTATTTTTCAAAAAAACAGGACGCTAAATATGTTTGTTTTTTTATTTGGACCCCCGTGCGTGAAGTTAGGTCTCGTCGTTTTTATGACTTTTTTAGATGCAGCGCGCACGCACAACCGGTTATCAAATTTTTAGATCGCGATATCTCCAAAATCCTTTGACAATAAATTTTCAAGTCGAACCAATCTGTAGTAAAAAACTTTGCCGTCCATTTGGGAATAATTGAAATAAATAAATTTGTGTAGATCTAGAATATGAGAAATCATTGATCAAAATCAAATAACACATTTTGTAATATATGTTCTAAATATGTCTAAAAAAAAACTTTGGTCACGTCACCCCTTCATAAGAATGATAAATAGCACTCGAATGGACGTAAATTTCGGTTAACACACACACACGCATGCGCACATAGTTTGCAAGAATCTTCAGTCAATACACGGTTTACACAGTTTATGGTTACATCAGTGCGCATGCGCAGACATGGGCGCCATTTTAATTGACGAGTAAACAAATCCAATGGTCAGTGGTATTTATGCGTAAATTAAGATTGGGCCCATGGCAATGCAAATGATGATGTGCGTGCCGCGTCCAGTGATGTTTGCATGGGCGCAATCTAATTTACACATCAACCAATGGCCTCTAGGCTCTAGAGAGGTCATTCGGTTTGTTTACTTGTAAATTAAAATGGCGCCCATAACCGTAAACTGGTGTATTGAAGGAGGCAGACTCAATCAGAAGAACTCAAGAAGAAGGCTAGGCCTGTGCGCCAGGCGCAGGTCTGTGTGCATGGCATGGCATTGGTACGGTCGCGCGTCGCGATCGCGGGCCGACGGCCGCGGCCGAATTAGCCAAGACTCTTGCTGTACCGGTATTTGTTTTGGGGTCGTGCAGTCGCGCGATCGACGCTTGCTGGACCAGTCGGAAAAGGATTACATTAGGGGTATAATTCACAAATATTTTACGCTAACGATCCATATCTAATGTGCTAATCGCACATTATACATACCTTGGGTTAAAATCTTGAAAAAGTCCCTTCAAATTCATTGTTTTGGAGTGAAGTTGAGAGAGGTCATAGCATCTTTGATTGCATACTGAACACGAAAATGTCAGCAACTAAATCTTTTGTTTTCGGCACCGGCATCGCATTGCCGATTTAGGTATATTGTACAGCGGTCTCGTCGTAAAGGCACAATTTTAAATAAGAACAAAAAAATGATAATAAAATATAATATGTTTCCCACTTTCAATTAAATAACGATTTGAAAACCAAGTAAGCTAGTTAAGTGGAGTCTAAATTGTTCAATGAGTAGGTCCATCGAATGTGGGGGTATTGAGTGTTCAATAAGTTCTTTTCTCATTCTTACCTTCCTGCTAGCTGCTCAACTATAAATTTAACTGGTCCTTTATGAAGTCTTGATGACTTTTCCCTATCCAACAATTTGTTTTCCGGGGTAAATATTCCAAAGTGGACAAGCGACTTAAAATTAATTCAACAACAATAACTAACCTTTCCAATTAGTGAACAACTACCATAATTTTATCTTTACACACACTCAGGCATCCGTCGCACAAAATACAAATCCCTTAAAAATATATAGGGAAGAACATATAATAGGCCTATATATGCCTAATCAATTGAAACAAGTTGAATTAAATCAAATCAAATCAAATTCAGTTTGATTGAATTAAATAAAATAAAAATGTATATAACACACACATATCAATATATAATACGGGGGCGGGAGCACGAACTGGAATATTCCAGTTCAGTGGGGGGGGGGGGGGGGGGGGGGGGAGGCATGGTTAGTCCAATGAGTATGAGAAGAGGGAAGCTAGCATAGGGGAAGGGTTTTGAGGTAGTGTTTAGATTAATGAAAATTCGTAACTTATATTTTAATATTATGTAGAGCAGTAGAGGTGAACATGGGAGCATAATTGTAAGGAGTATACACGTATATTCAGTTTTATTCTGAAAAAAAGCAATGCTTGTTATAGTTTTTGATGATGAAATAACTGTGTAACAATAATACGAATAATAGAAGCGGTATTTTGTATTAGGTAATTAATATACATTGTGAAATTATGATTATTATTATGTTTATTATTATATAACATTATGTTGTATTAATTTATTGATCAAAAGCTTTGCTTCTATAACCTTCTATAATTATGTTAAATGCGAAAAATAAAATTAATGAATACAAAAAAGGAGTAGGGGCGTGTTGATGAATTCTCTCTCTCTCTCTCTCTCTCTCCCTCCCCTTCTCTCTCTCTCTCTCTCTCTCCTTCCCCTTCTCTCTCTCTCTCTCTCTCTCTCTCACTCACTCTCTGATCTGTCTCTGCCTCTCCCCCTCTCTCTGTCTCTCTCTCTTTCTATTCTATATAGTTTCTTTCATCGCCTTTTGTCAAATGAATTTACGCTTTTAATTCCTTTCAAGTGGCCTGGGGCATGCCTTTCAACAGAATTTGTAAAAAATAAAGAGGTAATTAATGATTGAGCTTAGAGTGATATCATTCATTTTATCGTAGGGAAATGTAATGTAATCGCTCAGTTACAAGTAGCTCTACCAATCAGAGATCACTAATGAGTGCGCAGTATTAGGCTGCTAACTTCTACCAAAGACATGTTTGTTTCTGCTTGAAAAGTGGTGATGGTGTCACCGGGAATTTCGTGAAGCCAATATAAAATGGAAAGCAAAATGTTGGAGAAGGAACGATGTACCAGTAGAACTGTTGATTGTTCATCCCGCTTAGATGTTATCAGGAAGCATCTTGCTACAAATGCTGGCGGAGCATCATGTCCAATATCACTTCAAGTTCAAGATTGTAGAGCATCAAGCAGGATTGGATCATCAGAGACAAAGGTGCATCACTCTCGTCTGGGTTTCATGTTCACTGTTTCCTCTTTGAATTAAAGAAAGTCTGTGCCATTTAAAATACCATATAAAATACCATATAAAACCATGTTGTATTTGAACTGTTACATGTTTGTTATGATGAATCTAGTCATTTAATGGTATTAAACAATAAGCATTCATTCTTAATCTTAATTCATGTTTAACATTAAAATTAAATGGTAACTTTAATTTCTTACAGAAATAGATTTATTTTGCCGCTTGTAGTTGTATTCACTCATTTACCTAGGCTAAGGCTAACCTGGTCAGAGTTGCTGATGCTGGCTAGCAGGACTAGGCTGCAGGACCCACATGTTTATTTGTCATGTACCCAGACCTAGTATTATCTAGAGTCTAGGCAATTAATGCCAATATGGAATGTCATAGTCATATACTCTTAAATAATCCTGAAAGATTGTTCATAATATTATATTATTAGATTAATATTACGACTTAATAGTCATCCGTTTCAATGTCTTCTCTTGATTCTCTTTCTTTTGTTTTATCATATATGAGCATTCATTGCGAATTGCCATTTATATTTTTAATCTAATGTTAGCATAAATGTATTATTTTTACCAAAATTGATTTTTAATGTTATGCTTTGTATCAATCTCTTGTAAATTCAATTTGTTTCAGCCTCTAGGTGCTATGAATGTACATTTTTTTTTTATCAATAAACCATATCAAATCAAACCAAATCAAATAATACAACCCCAGCTTACTCATAAGTCATATTCAAATGTTCGTACTTCGTAGAATAAAAGGATAAGTTAAATCACTGTTTCTTTTTTTTCTCTCTCTCTCCTTCTTTTACCCAGGTGCTGAACAATGATGTGGAATTGATGCCACCATGCAGTGGTCAAGAGAGGGCGTATTCCACTCTTCTAACTCCGCAAGCCATCAGATTTGTTGCTGACATGGTCATTGAGTTTGACAACAAGGTTGATCAGGTCAGATCTTCTTCCTTTATCCATTCTCCTGTGTCTTGCTTTTGGGGTTTGGTTTTATTTAGGAATTTTATTTTCTTTACCAATGATTTCCTTTTTCAAAAGGATTTATTTCCAAAAGGATTTATTCCAAGTTATCTCATATTTGGTGTGACAGGTTAACAATTCAGTGACAAGAAAACTATTTTTTTCCCCCTTCTTCTTCTTCTTTTTCTTTTAGGTGCAATTTTGGTTTTGGGGGAAATCCAAGTCAATTAATAATATCAAATAGCAAAAACATTAAAAAAAAACATTATATGCAGGGGAAAAAGGAAAGCAGACAGGGACATTAATACAAGTAGGACTAATTTAATATTAGGTATATATCATGATTGCCTAATTTCTAATGAATGGGTACACTATAACCATCATGGTATACTTTAGACCTATTCATTGGAATTTTAATTTGATGACAGATCTTGAGAGAGAGGATACAGAGGAAGTTAGAGTTGGATGCAACCAATGCACAGCCGGACTTCAGAACTGACACACTGCACATCCAGCAGGGGACTTGGACTGTGGACCCTGTTCCTAGACGCCTTGTCAACAGACATGTGGACCTTGGTGATGTGTCTCCTGCGAACATCCAACATTTCACAAGGTCCTTACAGTCTTCTGCTCAAGGCATTCAGGTAAAAATCAAATAAAAGGTGTAAATATACCACTAGTTATAATTTATATTATTGATTGATCAAAATATTGCATCTGTATTGGGGGGGGGGGGGGTCATATTCGATACACAAATTCTAGCATTCAGAATAAAACTTGTGTGATTAAACTTACACTGAGTAATCCAAAAGTAGAACAGTAGGCTGAAACTTGGTAATACTTGAGAAATGAAATTGTTGGTTTAGAAATACTGCGATTCCTTAACTTTGATTTTGCATCGGAAATTAAGGATTGCAAAGAATATGGTTAACAGATGATTTGTTATAAACAGAAATTCATTAGAAGCAATTACATGACATGCAATTCAAAAAATCTAATCATATCTAATCATATGTCAATTTAATAATTGAGAATGTTAAATGGATTTTGTTTTAGACTGACTTTGATGACGGTCACTGTCCAACAAGGCGCACACAGATTGAAGGGCTTTACAACGTGTACAGAGCAGTGCACAACCAGATACCTGGCGTACCTCCCATTCAACATGCACCCATACTGATGCTTAGACCTAGAGCATGGAATATGGTAGAACACAACATGATAGTGAGTTCAGATTCCCAGCCCTATCTTTATTATTACACATTTATTTCAGGATAGGATACTTCTGAGTCATAAATTAATGTATAAATGTCTTCTTCAGAGTTCTGTGCTTTTATGTGATGACATTTCAGGATTATGATGTAATTGTATAAATAATGATTGTTTTAGCCCATTCAACATCTTCAAGTTAACAAAAAATAGATGCAGTTGAGAAGAAAAAAAAAATTAGATATAGATCGTTGATGCATGAGATAAATGAAACACAAAATGGATTCCAAATAATTACCCTTGCTCACAAATATGCATGAACTTTGAATTATGAAGTCTTAAATCTTCAGCCACGTTTAGATATTATAAGTATGTATTTTGTATGTTCTTTGGTTGTCCATGATTCTGATCAGTACTACAACTTTGTTCATAATTCATCATACTTGTCGAATCTCCTCATCACACTGTCTTTATTATGTATGAAATGTATTTTCCACACATTTCTACAGGTGAATGGGAAAGAAGTTCCAGGTCCTTTGTTTGACTTTGCTCTCCTCATGTTCCACAATGCAAAGATTCTGTTGGATAGAGAGAGTGGGCCATTCTTCTATTTGTCAAAGGTAGTTTAATCATGTATAATGTATGACAACAATTTCTGCATCATTGATGTTTAGGGCAAGCATTATTAGGTAAATTTTGGTTTAGATAATTTGTTCCAGCTATCCCCTTATTTGTTTCACCAAGTTACATATTATTGAATTACATTTCATGTTATTTCTATTGTTATGCTTCAAGAATAAAACTTGGCGATTACTAAAAAATACATTGACTATTCAAGCCAAAGCACTGAAAGGATTTTTTAATAAAGTGTCAATGTAGTGTATTGAGGAAGCAAGATGGTTTCATAGCTAATCTATCTAGACCACCTTGGTTAATTGTGAATCATGAATATTATTTTTTTTATTTTTCATGTTGTCAAACATTTAGAGCTCATTCATTTCTGCACATTACTGTTTACATGGCTCTCAT